GGGCACCTAAGATAGCACTAACTCCTAGGCATACTCTACCCCCTTCCTATCCCTAGTCTACTAATGCAGCACACTGTGCATTAATTTTAAGGATTTTCCCTAGGATTAACGTGGTTATAATTAGATTATAGTTATTATTAATTGCCTATTAAAGCAAGCTATTACTATCCCTTGCTATAAAACTATAGACGCCTAAGGTATAGCTACCTTATTTGTTTAGTAGGTGTACTAATTTAGACACACTCTAGATACTATTATTTCTAATTAAGGCCCTTAGTTTATATCTAGTTTCTAGTCTAAGTTCTATTAGATTATAGGTAATAAAGTTAAGCTCTCTATTACCTACTATAAATAAACTAATAGATAAACTAAGATTATAAATAAGTATATTAATTAGAGACTAGGGCCTTTTATATCCTATTACTAAGATAACTAGAGCGACCTACTACCTATAATAGACTATGCCTAAAGTACTCTTCTATATTTATCTATTAGCATAGCTCTATATTAGCTCCTCTTTAGTTCCTTACTAAAGCAAAGTTAGTATTAGAAACTAGAAAAGACCCTATCTACTATACTAGAGAAACTAAACCACAAGGACGCCTTATCCCTTACTACTTAGATACACAACGCCTAGAAGATTACTAAAGAAAATATAGAAAGAGCTTAAGACTAAATACGCTCTACTACTAATTACTATTACTATCTAATTAACTAGAAGGTTAGTAACTATATTTATCTATCTACTACTAATCTTGCTATTTTATAACCTAGCTAAAAACTATCTAAATAATAGGAAGGTCCCTTTAAGGGTATTAGAATAAGTAGGAAACGCGTATCGCCTCTAATTACTACCTAGTTCTAAGATCTATAATATTTTCTCTCCTAATATACTATATAAAGATCCCTAAGACCTATTACCTAGATAAGAGGCTCTAAAACCCCCTAGTACCCCTATACAAGGTATAGAGGAATAGGAGGTAGAAGAAATCCTAGCTAGTAAATTATATTAATCTAAGCTAAAATATAAGGTTAAGTAGGTTAGATATAATCCTAATCCTATTTAGTATCCTACCTCTAACTTTATAGGTGCTCCCTATAAATTATAGGTATTCTACTAATAGTATCTAAATTAGCTAGGTCCCTTACGCAGCTTACTAAAATAGATTTATACCTAGGAATAAGGTAAAGAGGATCTAATATTACTTTATAATAACTATACCTAATATTAGAACTAATTTATATCCTATTTAGCTAGATATTATACTATTAACTACTATCTATTACTATTATTCTTATTACTATTTATTATTATATCCTATTTAGAACTATCCTAGAACCTTTAAGGTTCCTAGGACACTACCCCTAGGGAACCTCTTTATTCTATATCTATCTCTTTATTAGAACCTAGTTTAGACTCTATATTAGCTAAGATAGCACCTAGACTACCTTTCTTAGCTAGCTTCTAGATAACTAGTATAGCAGGTGCAGTAGTAGGTGTAGGAGCAGGTGTAGGAGCTAGAACTAATTTAGACGCCTTCTTATTAAGCGCCTTTATCTTACCCTACACTACAAAGGTTGCCTCCTAATTTAGTGCTATTTCCTCTTTAAGTTTATTAATAGCCCTTATTAAGCCCCTAACTACTAAGACTATCTTATAAATACTATTCTAAAGCTAATATAAATTAGATATAGTAGTATAATATATAGCTATAAGGATCTTAGTAGCTTCTATACCCTTAGTCTAAGTATTAGTAATAGTAACGCACTTAGCAAGGTTTTAGGTAGCTTCTTAAATAGTAGCCTTAAACTATTTAACATTCTTCTAATAAGTAACTATAGTATCCTTATCCTTATCCCCTTTAGCAGGGTTTGCTACTAGGCTATAGTACTTATCTAGAGCACCCCTAAGGGTAGAGTACTCTAGGCTAATAAAAGAAGGAATCTACTAGAATTAGTAAAGGAACCCTATTAGACTTAGATACTTACTAGATTATAATACTTATTCTAGGAGATATAGTACTAGCACTTCTTAGAATTCTTTAACTTAAAATTAAAATTATTAAACTTGCCTCTAGCTAGAGCCCTAACTACCCTTATATAGAGAGCGCGATAGGTAATAGGGAGGACTCCTAGTAGTACTAGTACTAGCATAGCTAAAGGTTCTAATTTAGATTAGTAACTGCTTAATTATATAGATTAAATACTTACTAGATTTTAGATAGATTAGGTTAAATAATTAAAAAATTAGGGATATAGGAATAAGAAAGTTAGTAGGTAGAGGGCTAGTTATAGGCAGGCTAAGGATAGGGGTCTGTGCCCTAGGAACAAGAAGTAAAGGTAAAGGTAGAGGTAAAGGTAGATTTATTTTGCAAGAGCTTTTCTTTAATAAGGGATCTAAACCTAATCCTAAGGATAGGGACTATCCTTTCTCTATAGGAGGGGGTAATATAATAATAAGGTAGAATTGCCTACCTATTATTCTATACTAAGTTAGGCCTAATAAAGGCCTAACTTACTAATATATATAGAGAATAGCTCGCCTATAGTTAGGATAGGCATGTTCTTCTTGTCCTTTTATACAAGACCTATAGGTGTAGGAATCTTATCCTTTTCTATATAGACGCGCACTCCTATATGCCTTTAAGTCGTATAGGATACCTTTTAGATGCCCTACCTACCTAAGTTGTTACATAGTTATATATAGGCAGTTAAATATAGTTAAACTCTTAGCTATCTTATTTCTAGTAATAAAGTAAGTTTAAAGGAGGGTAATTATTTCCTTAGCTTTTTAGAACTAAAGACTTAGGGAATTAGATAGGTAACGTGGCTCTAAGTATTCTCTTGCTAGTCCTAAGTAGTGTCCCTAGACTAACGCTATCTAAGCTCTAGAAGAGGGGTAGTAATTAGCGTTAATCTCTAGCCTATCCTAAATAGATGCTTGCTATTATCTAAAAGTAGGATTAGCACTATTACTAAGTGTAGAGATATTTAGCGTCTTTTTAGATTATCTCTTAGCTTTTATAGTATATACTATAGGGTTTAATATAGAAGCTAAAGACTAGCCTAGTTAGGTAGTACCCTATATCTCTATATAGAGGGAGGTGTTATATAACTAATTAGTAAGTTACTTAACTTATTCCTCTAATCTCTCCTTTTTAGATAGGGTTAATATATATTTATCTTTAAGGGAGGTATTACTTTAAGATTTCCTAGGAGCATAAGGTACCTTAAGAGATAGATAGGAAGTAGGTCCTTCTAGGAGGGCGTTATTAATTAAGTCTTCTTTATCTAATTTCTTTCTATTAGTAAATAGGCTTTTAAAAGTAGCTAAACTAGATACCCTTCCTTTACCTTTATCTAATATTTTATAGTTAATAAGAATAATAAATCTTTTCTTTTTAGGGGGGTTTAGTTATAGGAGGATATTAGCTTTGCCTCTAATTCCTCTAGGCTTTTAGTAGTCTCTAGGTCTCTACCTTAACGCAATCTAACGCGATTTTTCTAAAGGTAATCTAGCACTACTTATAGGTCTAGAAGTCTAAGCCTATAGGCTTTAGTTATTAGAAGTTCTAATAGCTATTCTAACTATAGAGTTGCAGGGTTAGGTAGCTACTAGAACTAAATTAGTAGCTTAAAATAATAATAAGTGCAATATTCTTAAATGCTATTACTAGCTAGGATAATATTCTTCTTATAATATAATAACTTAGGTAGGTAGGGTATCTAAAAGGTATCCTATATAACTTAAAGGTATATAGGAGTGCGCGTCTATATAGAAAAGGATAAGATTCCTACACCTATAGGTCTTGTATAAAAGGATAAGAAGAACATACCTATTCTAACTATAGGCGAGCTGTTCTCTATATACATAAGTGAGTTAGGCCTTTATTAGGCCTAACTTAGCATAGAATAATAGGCAGGCAATTCTGCCTTATTGTTACAAGTCTATAATAGATAGGTATATTCTTCTTATCCTTTTATATAAGACCTATAGGTGTAGGAATCTTATCCTTTTCT